GGCTTCGTCCAGGGCGTGGAGGGCTCATCCGTCGCCATGAGCATCTGCAACGGCCTCAGGTAATACACACACACACACACACACACACACGGGTCCATCAAACATGGCGAGCATTAAGGCGAGTCTGAAACAGTCGCCCCGTTTGTTCAGTATCAGAAAGTAATTTCAGCGAGCGAGGTCGTTATGGGGGAGTGTCGAAGATTTAACGAACACGTCATTTACAGCAGCACAACAAAGTCTGACACTCAGTGTGTGTTTGTGTGTGTGTGTTTTCAGAGGAGTGATGCACCTCAGTGATGGCAGCTATGGGATTGAGCCGCTAGACTCCGCCCCCGACCAGCACCTGGTGTATCGCCTGCAGGATGTGACATCACAGCCCCGAGGGTGCCAAACGCCGCACTACGAGCACGGCCCCAACTCTACAGAGCGCGCTCAGGCCAGCTGGGAGGAGATCCCTCACGGGCAGCACAGACGGGTGCGTTTTCCCTCACGCACACGGCGCACGCTGACTTCCTGTCCCCTGAACTTTGACCTGTACCAGCTCTCCAGCTCTGGAGTCCTGCCATCATTCCTTTACAGTTTATGTTGATGGAGCTCCAGCAGCGCGAGCGCCGCCGTGCGCTCTCAGAGAGTAACCGTGTTTCTGTTCCAGGTGAGGAGAGCCGTCCTCCACAAGACGCACTACGTGGAGCTGCTGCTGGTGGTCGACAACGAGAGGGTGAGAGCACGACACCGGGTGGAGGGGGACTGCTGCGGCGGGCGGCGTGTAACCGTGTGTTTCTCTCTCCCCAGTTTAACTTCATGAGCAGGAACGCGACGGCAGTGAGGGAGGAGATGGTTCTGCTCGCCAACCTCGTGGACAGCGTGAGTGTCACATGTTTCCTCCACGGCTGAGTTAGCTTTGTGTCAGGGGAACCGTGCCCACGGCAACAGGAAGTGACTTTCCTTTCAGCTCGTTTGCTCTTGTGTGGTTAAAAGTCTGTAAAAGCCTTTGATGTCCTCACCAAGAAAAAAGCGTTTTTTTGTTTGCATTTCTTATTGATTTGGGGGAATAACCACAATCAATAGTTCAGTTTTTAAAATATTGATCTCTACCAAACGGCTGAGATGTCACTCAATGATAAGAGTATGAAATGTCATGCAAACACAAGTACATCAGATAATACAGGTGAAAAAACAAACAAAGGGCCAAATTATGATTATATTAATAAAAACTATCCAGGCCATTGGATACAGTTTCTGTGTAGCAGCATTCAGTGAACACTGTTTCCATCAAAGGAAAGTATCAAACAACAAAATACATGAACACTCACATCCAGGACACGTCTGATTGAACACTACTGTGCAAAATCAGCTTTGTTTTTAAAAAGATAAAATAAAAACTGCAAATCAGCACATCTGCTCGTGGTTTTGGTCGTTGGGGTCTTAGGGTGTAGCTTTGATGGAGAGCTGGATCATGGTTGTCCAACTCCAGATGCTGGTTAACTTGGTTCAGACACAGCCAGGCGGAAACCTTCTGAGAGCCGTCGGTTTCTGGTCCAGTAGGGCACAGTCGCTCATGTAGACCAGGTATTCAAGTCAAGGATGTATCCGAACTGTGGGATATGCCATCTCCTTAACGTATAACTTGTCTTATACAGGTGTAATAGCATATCAGAAAGCTATGCGTTGGACTCTTTGCTCCACCGTTTGACCGATGAAAGAAGCATGAACCCACAGGCCTGTTTAGGAGGTTGACACATTTGTTGTCAAATCATTTCATTGCAATCAGACCTTCATCAGAGCTGTAATCACAGGCTCCATGGCCGTTCTTCATCAGGTCTTTCTCTGCCATCAGTTTGGTCATACAGTACCAATGCACCTGACACCAGAGGTGTGCAAGTTCTGGACCAAGCAGAAACTTGAGAAGAGCCGAGGTTCTTTTATGGGTTTGCAAAGTGTTTTTACAGCTTTGGCCCCTTAGAGGGAGCTTCTGTTGCTTTTCACTCAGGGGAGCATTGAAGAACATAGACCCCCCCTGATACAGCAGCAAATAAAAAGCTCCACTCATCTGGTTTGTTGGCAGTATACTGGTGCAGAGTGCCAGCTGTTGTGGCTTCATATGAAACCATGAGCTCAAACACACTGTGGTTGAAGGTGGATGGTATCATGAGTGTCATGCCACAGGACCATGTGATCTTTAGCCATATAATTGTTTAGCTTCCATATAGCAGTTGTTCAAAATGAAGTTATAATTTTGAAAACTTAGTAATATTAATTTACCAGCTACTGTAATTTAGTTAAAAGCTAATCAGTTGTGATATTTGTGATTTCCACGTTATTCTTGATTTTTACGATATTTACTAATATTAATATTAATGGATTGCATTTATATAGCGCTTTTCAAGGCACCCAAAGCACTTTACAATTCCACTATTCATTCAAGGACACAACGACCAGGACAGAGAGCCCGGGGATTGAACCGGCGACCTTCCGGTTACAGATGCGCTTCCCAACCCCCTGAACCACGGTCATACTAACTCAGAAAGTTACAAAAAAGACTTACTGAGGAAATTCTTTCAGCGTATTCTTGCTGTGCTAACACTTAATGTGATTTATCAACAAAATGGGTCTAGTGGTCTGATTTTATGGCAAATAATCAGTTTTAATAACATTACTTTATGTTAGCATTAGCACCATCAAATCAACCGTTTGGTTCACCACTTCTTAAAAAAATTATTAAACATTTAATTTCACTTTTTTAATGCTGTCAAGTGGCAAACATCTGTTTAGTAAGTCCTCTAACACTGTCATCTATCAAACAATTATATCTTCCTACCTTAGTTTGATCAAAAACACTCAAAATATGTTGGACAGTTTTTTGTTTCTGACTTGCTGGTTGGGCGAGGTTTAAGAAGAGCCCACAGTTTCCATTCACAGCGCCTTCTGGTGGCTTTTTGTGGCGTTACAGATGAAAAA